CGCGGCGGCGGCGGCGGCGGCGGCGGCGGCCTCTTCCCGGGAGGAGGCGGGCCGGCCGGGCCGCGTCCGGAGTGGAGGCCCCGGGCGGGGGGCCCCGTTGCAGCCTCGCCGGCCAGCAGCCCCGCCCCGGTCGTCGGGCCCTGGAGCCGCGGTCGCGCCGGCCCCGAGGCGGGACGCCCAGCTCGGGAGGCTGCATCCCGTGCCGCGGCCGCCGGGATTCAGACATCCCGGAGCGGAGCTCGCTTGCTTGCTCTGCGGCGGGATCCGTTTCTCCGATGAGCCCTGCGCCTTCCGCCGGCGGGCACAGCACGGGCCCTGCCTCCCGCGCTTTCCCGCGTGGCTCCGCCGGTGCCGGCAGCTCCCGTCCCCGCCGCTGCGCTGCGCTGCACGCGCGGTGCGCCCTCCGCCTGCGAGGCGGTCGGTGGAGCAGCGCTGCGAGGGCCCGGCTCCTGTGGCGGCGCAAAGGGTGCGCGGCTTGGCTGCATCTGGGCGCTCCCGGAAATCCGTGCTGGGGCTTCTGCTTCGTCAGCAGCGAGTGCCGCACTGCCCGTAGCTTAACAATCAAGGAGCCGCAGCTTCTGCTCAACTACCGTCCTGCGATTCCCGAACCGGCCCGTTGCCTTCCTGTTCCATCCAAGCTGGCTGTCCTGAAGCGGGGCGAATCGCGGTGCAGCCGAACGATGCTCTTGGTCCTGGGTCTCTCCATCGTCAGAGGGACGTTGGGGTGCCATTGGACTGCTCCTCAGTATTTTAGGCAGGGTAGTTACTAGGGCGTCCTGCTCTGCAGTCCCGCAGCTGCTTTGGGAGCTTTATGTGGTTGCTTCCTCTATAGAATTCTGTACTGTGCAGAAGGGTACATTATCTTGCCCTGGAAATAAGATGGAGCTGCTTGACTTGCGTATTCCCATTGCAGCCAGCAGTCTGCATATTTTTATAGATGCAGGAATTTGCATAGCGTGACCCGATCTTCTGCTTGCATACTCTGTATTTTGTTTTCTTACAGGATGAATGACTGTACCTTCCCAAGGTACAGTGACAATGACATAATTTCACTCATTCGTACCCGCTTGCTTACGGGAAATGAGGCCAAAAACTTATCCAAAAGTGACTTATTTCCAAATGTCAAGGTAAAGTCTGTAAAAGTTTGCTTATTTGACAGAAGTTAAATTCAGCACTATCTGGTGGGGTCTTCCCGATATACAGAACCAGAACTAGTGAATTTAGTAATGGTCGCTGCTGCTTGAGGGCACACCATGTAAGGCAGGGGGGTCCAACCCGTGGCCCATGGGCTGCACGAGGCCCAGGATGGCTATGAATGCGGCCCAACATAAAATCGTAAACTTACTTAAAACATGGAAATTTTTTGCAATTTTTTTGGCAACTTGATTGTGCAGTTCTCAAGTGTGAACTTTGTAGACACAACATGTCATAATGTCACATAAAATAAATGTATATATGCTCTCGCTATTTGTACACATGATGGCAAATATCACAAATTATGCACAGACCATTTTTCTTTGTTTTCCTCTTGCTCATCAGCTTTTGTTAGTGTTTGTGTATTTAATGTGCGGCCCAAGACCATTTTTCTTCCAATGTAGCCCAGAGAAGCCAAGAGGTTGGACACCCCTAATTTAAATCATTTTTAGGCTCCTGTTCAGCTTAAAAAGCGGCTTCTATATCACATTCAAAAATAATGTCACTCTCTGCCTTCAGCTGCACACCTGAGAAGCCCTGATGTAGTGACATTCAGAGTACATATATTTCATTATCCCCAACTACTCTTTTGTCCACATTTCCTTTAAAACTAATTTTAATCCTAAAACTAATAAATATTTGCAAATATCCAGAGGGTAGCTGTCAGTGATGTGGAGTGAAAATTTTTCCAGAGCTTTATTCTCCAGGAAGAAAGCCCATTCCATAAATTCGTCAAAAGTCGCTCAGCACAGGTTTTAGCTGTCTCAATTCAGCATGTTGTGGGGGGGACACGGGGAGGAAGGCCGCTGAGGCCTTGTTATTTTATCTCATTTGATCATGAGCTTTGTTAAAAAGGATGCTTCTCTTAAAATTTATAATGCCAAAACCATTGCCTCTGTTAGTGGAACTTCAAGTAAATTAAATCATTGACTGAAAGGCACACGGCATCAAAATTTAGTCTGTTCTTGTAAACTGGTGTTTCATCTTTTCAGCCTGAAGTAGTGCAGATGATCTTCATGAGAGCCTTACAGAGTGTATATGGAATCCGCCTGGAACACTTTTACATGGTAACTGTACAATAAAGACTCATGGAAAAGTATATTGAGTACAAAATAAAAGTGATATCTTAATTACTCTCCATAAAGTTCTCTGACGCCTTAAAGGCTAATGGATCTGTTGTGTAATTTCTACCCTTCTGAGAGTAGTTCAGAGAGAACAAATGCATTTTGATGCAGATATGTTATTTATGTATTGATAGGCAAAGCTGTACAATATTGAGACTGCTTTTCAGTCCAGCACGAAGTTTGTGGTCTCTGGGTTTCTCCCCCTGCTGGCTTGCTGCATGCAGGCAAGCAGCAATCTTCCCTGTGGGAAAGGCATGCATGGAGGTTGCAGGCCGGTCCTGTGCACTGGGCTTGAAAGAGCCGGTGCCTGCTTGCCCTGCCCTGCCCTCCCACCCGATGCTCTCATCATGCAGCCGGCTTACGAGGAATGTCTGCCTTGGCGAGTCATGCAAATCCTTCGGTAACACGCTGTGTTCCATAGATGCTCTTTCAGGGCAAGAGCAGAAAGAAAGCTGCCCACTCTTGCTGGAATCCCTGTCTGTTGTGCCTGTGTAAGCTGAGTAGCATCCGTACAGAGCATCTCCAACGGCTAGCCTTGGGCACCGAGTGCATTTTCTTCGTGTATCAATTCAATCAACAATTCAAGAAAGTCACATCAAGGATGAGAGGCCTCTAAAGTTTTGTGTGGTCCTGTGGTAGCAATGTCAGGATTCTCCCTTGACTTCGTTATCTAATTGCACGTGGAATGTGTCTTTGCTAGTTTGGAAAGTTTCATGCTCCTCCCAATGTGCTGGAAGCTTGATTCAATACATTGTCATCCTAAGATTTACAAAAGATAATTCTGGTAAATGAGTTTCAGCTTGCATGAAAGAAGAAAGTGTGTCTTACGGAGGATGGAATATAGCTCTAAAGAATTGCTTTTGGATGGTCTTGACCATTTGTGTCCAAACAGCCCCATAATTGGGCTCTTCAGAGTAGCTGTTGACCAGTAACGTTTCTTACTTTTCCCAAACAGCTGTACTTGGTGTTTTATCATAATTGATAATTCTCAATAATTGCAAAACTCCTACCAACCTTCTCAGTTCTACCTGGAGGAGGGCACAAGGGCAGCTCCACCAGCATGCAGTAAAGTTGAACCTGCCCGAGCCCCTTAATGTACTGGGTTCCTTGAAGCATGCAGTGAGGCAGTAGTGATACTCTTTGCAGAGAGATCAGACCTTCCTTGTTCTTGGACGCAGGTCACAACGTGGTGAGGACCCTGCGCTTCGCTTCCCCAACGCCCTCGGTGTCACCAGAGGCCAGATGGTCTCCCTAGGCTGGTCGCCCAGCAGGGTCACCCAAGGCGGGTCGGTCAAAGGGCAAACACCAGACTCTTCGGGAGGAGCAGAAGGAAGGGGAGCTCCCTATCCTGAAGGAACTGCAGGCGATGCTGCGGAGGATCTTGCAGCGGCAGTCCTGCCGAAACTATTCTGTGTCAGTCCCGGCTGGACGGGGTGGCCAGAGACATTTCAGTGCGTTGTGTCCGCCTGATTACCACTGGGGCACTAGAAAGTCACTGTCACTGTTTCAAGGACTGATTTTCATCTGGAGTTTTGAAGCTGCTGAATGAAACATTTGTTTCACTGTTCTAGTTTATTGGGGTATGAGATGCACGTTAATGCTTCCATGGCAGAAGCGTGGTCTGTAATGCTACAAATAAATAATGCACCTTCATTTGTAGATGAGGCGCTCAGTGGAAAAAGGGCCAGCGTGTGCTCATTTGGTCACGACTGATTTGCGCTTTTATTTTTAGATGCCAGTGACCTTTGAAACAGCCTATCCCCAGATTTTTGAAGGGTTCCTACCCATCGGGAATTTGTTTATTAACATGTGAGTATCCTAAAATCATATTCTCTGTGCTGATTTTTAGTTTTTGTTTGAATTTGGGTTTTGCTTGGATTTATTTGAAGCTGAGGAAAATTATTTTGCTAAGGATTTTCTTCCTATAAGGAATGCTTGAAATGCTTTGGTCCGTGCAGATATCTGGATTTGGTGAACTAAGTGATAGCAGATGCAGTCCTGTGGAACTCCCTACCTCAGGCCAGATGAAGCGTGTTCGGCCCGCAGGCTGGTTGTTCACTTGGTGGCATCCCTTGATTCTCCTGTGTCTCCTGGGGCTCCGTTGCTCCGAGCACCTTCTGCCAGCTCCAGCTGGAGGCCGCACCTTGCCTCATGTGGCTTCCAAAGAGAGGGTGGCGTCTTCAGTAACCTGCCTCTGGTGATCTCGACATTCTGTTGCTTTGGCACCCTCCACGTGGGGCTGCCCTGAAGGTGATCCAGAACCTGCAGCTGGTGCCGTCTGTCACAGTCAGATCATCAGCTGTGACCTGCAGCTCTGAATACACGGGGCCAGTCGTGGCCCGCTTGCATCAGCTGTCCGGATGCTCCTGGTCCCCATTCCGGGTGCCGGTTTTAGCCTATAAAATCTCCACAGCCGGGGACCTGCAATACCTGTTGGAGCGCCTCCCAGTCGCAGTCCTCTGGGATGCTGTGCTCAGCTCCTGGGGCCTGCTCCCGAGAGCCCACTCAGGGCGGCATTGGGGGTTGGGGCTTTCTCAGAGGTGCCCCCCATCTGTGGAAAAAACTGTATCCCAGCTGGTGTCAAATTGGTCACCTTTTGGTTAAGGTGCCACGTTTCTCTGAGGCCTTTAAGACTTGCTTGGCCATCTAGCAGCTTGTGGGGGGTTACCAGGTGTTTGACAAGGTCAATCAAATAATAAAAAATAGAATACCAAATGAACTTTCCCCTGTAACATAGGTTACACTTGGGAGAAGGTGTTACAGGGTATCTATTTACAATGTGCATAACGTTTTAACAGGGAGAAGTTTTTCCCAATCTGCCGTATCAATGACTTCCAGACTGCTGATATCATTAATCCAAGTGAGTGTTTAATATGTAACCTGTGTGACATCTTAGATCGTTCTAGTTTTGAGCTTGCCTGGTTGTTGCTGTTTGGTTTCTTGTTTGCGTCGTTGGGGTGCTGCTCCTGACCGTGAGGGTCGGTGTAAATGTGTGGAAATGCCTCTTGTCGGCCCTTAGGGAATGGTGGAGTCACAGGATAACGTCCTGCTTCCTGACTCCCAGGGTTGCATGTTGCAGCTGCCACCGCCGTGTGGTTCTCAGCTCTCCTGAGCGTCTTTCAGCATCTGTCCTTCCCTTCCAAAGGTCTCTGGGTGGGCAGCCGAAAAAGCCCGCCTGGCAAAATCTGCAGGAGGGGGGCGGACTGGGAGGGGACGGTTGCCTCGGCTTTTCCTCCCGCCTCCGCTGAATGGGCTGATGGACATATCTGGAAATTCGCGAAATTGCCGTTAGCACACCACAAAATGGCTTCCATGGGAAGATGTGGCCAGTCGAGTAAGGCGTGAAGCTGAAGGCTCGGAAGGAGGAGGGACAGCGAGAAAGCGGGCTGAGTGATGGTAAAGAGAGTGGGCGGGGGGGGGAAGGAGGCTGGAGAGGGGGCACGGGGGTAACAGCGAGGAAAGGAGTCGGAACAGAAACGGCAAGGCTGGAGTCGGGGCGGAGGGAGCAGTGGGGGAGGGCGGTGTGCCCAGGACCAGGCAGGGTGGGCCCAGGAAGCGACCTGTCCGCCTTCCCTTCCAGCCGGCCAAGTGGCCGCTCGGCATTTCGGCAGCAGGAACCGGACATGGCACCCTGGCGCTCCTCAGATTAGTTGGGTTAGGGAAATTCCTGAGGTGGCAGGAGGCGGGAGGCCTCGCAGGTGCACTGTGAAGGGTTGTCATGGAGCCTGCGGGCGCAGCGCTGGGCCCCTCGTGCTGTTACGTTGTTCGGCTTTAAAGTGTTTTCACGTATTAAAAAAATTACCATCTGAAGCTTTGAGTTGATCTGAATGTAACATTTAAAATGCCCTTGATTGCATTTTTTCCTAGTGAAATGTTTCAGCCCATCTAACTTTGGTTACTGGAAAAACAGACGTGCATGCAGCATATAAATTAAAATTGCATACCTCTATCAGTTTTGTTCACTGAGTTTCAAGTCTCAGACTGTATATACTGCCATATAAGATGGCCTTTGAAACAAAAATAGCAAAGCAAAAATTGGGAGTCATCTTAATATGCCCAACATAAGACAAACGCCAGAAAAACAGCCCAAAATATTGACCTCATCTTATATGCAAGTCACCTTACATGCAGACAAACCTACAAAAGATCATCACTGTATATTATGTGAAGGTTGCGGCCCAGTCTGGATGGCTGAATAGGCTGCCTGGCGTATACTTTGGCTCACTATGACTGAAACGACTCTGGGCAGCTTTGCTGTGAAACCGAGTCATTGTTTAGTGCAGGGGTGATCAGATCTTTGGGTGGCTTGTCGCATGACGGCAGGGGATGCTGACTCCCAATTCTGTAATACCAAAAGCCCCACCTTCCAGCAAATAGCCTGCTAAATTGGCCTTGAAAATAGAAACGAGCAGGGCAAGTAGTGGATTTTTATGCAGGAGGATTGTGAGTTCACTTTTTAATTTCACATTGTAGCTTCAGCAGCTGCTTTGCCTGAAAGCCTTCAAAAACTGGCAGGACCTTCATGCAGTGCATATCGCTCCCCTCAGCCCTCAATTTGCTTCCCATTCGTGTATGCGAATATGGTCAGCTTCCGCCAGATCTTTTTTCTCTACCGCGAAGGTGCGTTCCTGTTCTAGTGCGCCACAGCAGATAGTCAAACACCATGGTTTCCTGCATTCCTTTGTATACAGTAATGATGGGCAGAAAATAGTTTGCCAGATGTTTCAATTTTCATCTTGCAACATTTCTGGTCACCCTGCCATACTCCTGGTCTACCTAATTTCTAACTAGGTTAAATGTAGCTTTCATAAAGCTTGAGTTTGAAAAATTGTACAGTTCATAAGCCTCATCAAAAACATTTTGTGTTGATATTCTAGAAACGAAGAGGACAGCTCGGTTCTTGAGTGGCATTATTAACTTTCTTTTCTTCCGTGACTCGCGACGTGAGGTCTACCTGGAAATCCAGAGCACTTACGTAAGATTAAGTAAAGCTTTTGCCTGCTGGACCCTCAAACTTAAGTTTAAAGTTTTGTTAATTTATTCATGCTGCAGATGGTTTGAAAATTGTGCAAGCCTCTTGCATTTTAGCGTAGGCTGAAGACTTGCATTAGCATCGGCCTTTTTGTTATCTAAGTTGGCCGCTTATGCACATCCCTGTGAAGAGAGGAAGCTTACCAAAAGCTCATCATGGTACCGCTTGGCTCAAGAGAGCAGCTGTTTTGATCTGTCGTTTGTGTTTGTGTTCATGGTGGCAGCAAAGTAGCCAAGCTACCATAATGTAGAAAGGAAACTGCAGGGCTGCTGAGATACAGGACAAGCAACCCGGAGGCATCTTAAGATCTCTCAAGTTCACTGATAAAACTACGTATCCATATGCAACGCACCCACACTGATTCCCACACTTCACATAGCTAGGCAGACGTCCGAGTGCGCGGCTTCCCCCTTCGGTCTGGCTTCGGTGGAAAGGGTGTTGGTGAAGCTCGGGGTGGCCGCTGCTGCTCACTTGGGACTGAAGCAGTTTTCTCTGGATTCCTCCCTGGGGGCATCTTGCTTCCAGAGATGGGACTTGGATATCAAGATGGTGGTACGTCCCCTTTGCTAGTGCGGCTGATGGGTCACTTGCCACTTGACAAGATCTTCTGCATATAAAGTATGCTTTCTGCCCCCGGTATCAGTAGCCTTGAACTTAAGGGAGTAGCTCAGCTGGGCTGAGACCTGGCTGTGTGCAGAGTGCGGGATGTGCTCCAGGGGATTGCAAAGGGAACATCGGTTGCCGCAGATCGCAGCCGGGGCAGCGTCCCCTTGGTGAGCGACTTTGCGATCTCAGCAGCCACGAGGTGCAGAGGCTGCTTCTGGGTCAAGTGTCAAATGGCAAAGATTTGATTTCATAACTAAGGTTATGGCTTAGTTTGTGATTCTCAGGAAGTTATCAAACATCAGATCAGAGCAAGCCGAACAAATTTGTGTTGCCTCCACACACCAGCCCCCCCCAGTTCGCCCTGGCCCAGTCCCAGCCGCTGTGCTCTGGGCAATGAAAGCAATATGTAGAATAGGACATAAAGTCTGTGCAATATGTTCTTTCCCCAGAAATCGGCTGTGGAAAGAGAACAGCGGCTTCAGGCGGCAATCCAGGAGGCGACCTTGAAACTGGAGAAACTGGAGTAAGCCACCCGCTGATTGGATGCCTTAGCTTAAAATAAGCCATGGCCCTGAATGGCCAATTTGCAGGGCTCCAAAGGAACTGTACCCACTGGGATGTATCATTATATTCATTCATTCATTCATTCAAAGTTTTTATATGCTGTCCCCTTGCTACACAGCCTCGGGACGGCTCACAAAAATAAACACAAAACAATAGCAATTACAGTTAAAACCCAGAAACGCACTGGCTGCACAATTAAAACCTATAAATATTAAGCATCATTAAAATACTGTTTGAATAAAAAGGTCTTGGCTTGGTGTCGAAAAACAAACAACGACGGCGCCAGGCGGACCTCTCTGGGGAGCGCATTCCACAGATGGGGCGCCACTGCAGAGAAGGCCCTCCTCCGGGTACTTTGCTTCCTGATGTCTCTCCCGGAGGAGGGCCTCTGCTGCCGATCTCACGGGGCGGGAGGGATGGAGATACCTTTGCCTCTCGGGCATAGAATCCACAGTGTGAGTTGGAGCCTGCAGGTTTAAGTCTTACTCATATGCCCTGCTCATCACGAAATCGTGGAACGGTAGAGCTGGAGGTGGCCAAAGGGCCATCAGGTTGAAGCGCCTGCTCAGTACAGGCTTGGGGTTCAACCATCCCTCTCAGATGGCTGTCCAGGTGCCTCCTGACCGCCTCTGGTGTGGCCTGCCCACCGCCTCCCTCGGTCACTGGTTCCATTGCTGTATGGCTCTAACAGCCAGTAAGTCGTTCCTGGTGTCACGCTGGAATCTGGCATTGCTGTCGCTTGAGCCGGTCATTCCGTGTCTGCAGTCTGGGGTGACTGAGAAGGAGCCTTCCTCTCTGTCCTCCCTTTCGAGCCTTATTCCTTGGTGCAGTCTGGGAAAGCCGGTGGAGCTTGCGCCTGTTCCTGCAGCAGCCCGCCTGTGCAGCCACGCTGGGGCCAGCTGTGGAACGGCCATGGCGACTCCAGGATGCGCATCGTCAGCGGGGGCTGGATGCAGCCAGCGAATCCTCGCGAAGCACCTCCGCTCCGCTCCTGCTCGGTGCGCTCGCCTGCTTCCCTGGCTCGCGGAGCGTTGGCCCAGCCCGTGATGTGGGGCCAGGGCAGAGTGCTGCGCTCGCACAGCAGCCCTCTTCTTACGGCGCAGCAGGAGTGCAGCTTGTGGCGGCCTCTTGTGTGATGTTTCGTGTACCCTTCCTGCCCATGTTTTGTACAGCTTCCTGGTGGCATTGCTCTCGATGAGTGCATTTTTCGAGGGGAGGGGACTATCTGGGCTAATTGCGCAACACCAGCAGAATTGCGACATGTGCTGCGGCAGGGCTGGCTGGGGAGGGGCAAAGTGGAGGCCCCTGCTTCCTTTGGCAGTTCTCCTGCCTCAGGCATGATTTCTCTTTGGCATTCCAGCTAGAAAGGGGCTGCAGGAGAGCGCCTTCCCTTCTGGCTTTAACTGTGTGCATTTTGTCGTCCTCCCAGTTCGTAACTCTCCATAAGCAGGGGGGCAGAGTCTCGTTCTGTGCCTGTACCCGGGGACATGTGTCTTCTGGAAATTCTTGGTTTGAAAACATTCTAATGCAAATTAGATTCATTTGCACGAGGTTATTTGTGTTAGAAGATTGTCTGTTGCCCTGTCACTGCCCTGTAGGATTCTTTCCAATCCCATTGCAATTCACGGTTTCTGGCCTTGGGATGCCATCATCCCACATTTAGTTTAGTTTGCTTCAAGAGTTGTTTACCTGTGTGAGACTTGTGGAGAAAACTATTCCTGTCGTGCAATTATGCTAACATCCTGAACTTAGTGTCCACTTCTAGCACTTAGTTACAAGGCAGTTACATTAAAAAGGCACAGGGTTTCCAACAAGTGAAAGGTTAACTGTGTGTTTGAATATATACCAAATACCGGTTCCTTTTTTTTGGGTTCGTACAGTACAATTCCAGCAGAACAACAAGCAGAGTTCAAGGAGCTGTCGCAAGATATTCAAGAGCTGGAGCAAAGACTCAACCAAGAATATCGGCAGAAAACGGTGTGCATGTGTTTTACAAGTCAGTCTGAGTTGTTAAGCTACGCTAGTCTTGCATGTTCTATTTAATAACAACTTAAGGTTTTGGGGTGTTTATTTTAAAACAACTTGGCCTGTGAAATGCTCCTTTTATTGTCTTACCGTCAGTTAAAAATGAAAAGAATTTCTTATTTCTTTAATTCTCAAAAATTCCTCTTTCCGCTAGGGTGCTTTGCAAGAAGTGATCCACCAAAAGAGGATGGAAATTGCAGAAAAAACCCAGAATCTGGCAAGTTGATCTCAGCCGTGCGCATTGACTTTGTACAGCTTGGAACAGCTTTCACCTGCTGAAAGAAAGCGCACTTATTTTCAATCAGCTACATGCAGCATTTCTTAGGAATATTTTTAAACTACTTTGTATTCTTTTGTATTTGAATTTTCCATTGAATTGCTCAGAGTATGTTCCCTTTTAGGCATTTGAACATTAATGTGCTTCAGTTTCTGGTTTTTTCTCTCTCCAGAGAATTTGTATGCTACCTTTAATAACAGTCCCCATTTCTGAATGCTTTCAAGTCACTGTTAGGCTTAGTGGGCCTCAGAGGGCTTGCCACTTCCTATTTCCGGCCACCATGATACAGGCTATGTACAAATACTTTTATTTTCATGTTTATTCCACTTCTAAACTACCCAGGAAGCAAAGTTCTCTGATGTGGGGAGGAGTGTTTTAACCTTACACCCCGAAAGTCAGATCAAGGATAGAAGTGGGGTTGAGCTCTGGCAGATTAATTTCCACTCGGTTCTCCCATGTTCCTCTAAACACCATTGGACATCTTCAGCGTTAGGTGGCTTGGCAGCCCTCAGCCACAGATGTACTTGGCAGACCTGCGCAGCCTGCCCAACGTCCGCCTCTGCTTTTCCCCCGGAGTGGCAGTGAGAGCCACTCGGCAGCAGCGGCAGTGGGAGAAATGGGTCCCGGCGCGGCTGTGGTTCGGCAGCCGCAGCGCCACATTCTTGCCCCCCACATAACGCAGCAGCAAAGACAGGAATTGCTGTCTGTGGCATTTGTCAGGACCTGCAACGTTCCTTCTCCAAACCAGGAGTTTAGGAATTTTAAAAATCTCTATACCCTCAATGTGTCACCCTTTCTCCTTTTCTCTCCACCCTCTTTGCCCACATATTTCTGCACATGTGCAGGGTCCCCACTGCCTCCCTTCTTAAGAACATAGGAAATGCCGTGCTGGGTCAGGCCAAGGTCAGTGTTCTGGTCACACAATGGGCAGCCAGTTGCCCTTGGGAAATCCGCAGGACTTTTCCTTCCTTCCTTCCTTCCTTCCCTCCTTCCTTCCTTCCTTCCTTCCTTCCTTCCTTCCTTCCTTCCTTCCCTCCCTCCCTCCCTCCCTCCCTCCCTCCCTCCCTCCCACAACTGATGTACTGCCTCCGACAACGGAGGCTGCATATAGTCAAGAGTGGTAGCCCTTGATGGCCTCGTCCTGCACAAGCCAAACCAATAGTCCAGCTTCCCCACCTGAAGAAATGGTTCTTTCAAATGAGGCAGGTATGTGCTTATAGCCTTCGAGCCGTTCTTTTCCTGCAGCGATCCATCCATTCTCTTTTGAAATAGTGTGTAATCACAAAACGAGATGTGTGCATTATGCTAACATGTGAACCAGAGATGTGGCTCTACGTTTTATGCAGTGGGGCTGGGCTTCCCAGGACCAAAGTTGCTGCTTTTTTGATAGAACGAGCTCTGTAATTTGGAAATTGAGAAGCAGGAATGAAGCTGCTGCATGTTGCCCTTCCCCTGCGTTCTCCAAACCATGCTGTAGAAGTAGAAGACCTAACTGCCTTGCGAGTCATTTGACAATTGAATGAAAAGCTTCTTTTGAAGAAAAAAATGTCTAATTTATCGCAGACTTTACATTCTTAAAGACTGAGTTAAGGACAGATTTTTTCTGGTATCAAATTTAAACTGGTAGTGACATTAAAATAAGCATTGTATTTAATTCTTTTTAATCAGAATGAGCTAAAACTGACTATATGTAATCTAAAAGAAGAACAAGAACAGCTGAAATCCAAGATTACAAAGTCTCCTGAGGAGCTGACTAATAGCAAGGAACGTCTGAAGCAGACACTGGAAAAACTCAAGCAAGACAAGGTGTGTGTTGCTGCTCCGGTGCTTACCTTTATTGATTGGAAGCAATTAAAGAACAAAAGCCTCTTTCTTGTAGCTTGTTTCACACTTTATATGCAGAAAACCTTCCAAGTTGGTCTAGGTTTGGCTTCTTTATAGTATTGTGTTGGATCAGGAACAAAAGGCCCAAACAAGCACAGTAGCACAGCTTTCTATAGCTTCAGTTTCCTATGGTGCTTGAACACACGAACACAGATTCGTTTCCGGGAGCATACACCTATATGCTTCAGGCTTTGAATGTCCAGGAGGGACCATGCCTGGCAGTGTCCAGAGCGGTTTATCCAGTTGCCAGATGTGCCCCCAGCTCCAAAATTTGCCAGTCCTCCACTGGTGTCTTTTATGAGAAGCACGTTAGAAGTAGTTTAGTGTTTATTAAACAGCGAAGAAAAGGATAAGGTAATGAACGAGTTCGATTTCTGAGAAAACGGAAATTTGTTTTTAAGCTGAATTTGTGTGTAAGTGGGATCACATAGTCAGCCCTCTACATTCCCAGGGATTAGAGGTCCAGAACCCCCAGAAAAGTGGAGAACCACAAATGTCTCTAGCCCCTTCCCCCACCCTCCCAAACTCACCAGCACCCCCTCTTTGCAGCAGGAAATGCTGGAGAGATTTCCCTCCCTTCCTCCCTGGCAATGGCCATTTTCTGCAGAATTGCTAGACTTGATGGAAGTCCGTTTGTAAGCACGGGTTGTTCCTAACTCAGGAGCTGGCCTGTATTAGCCTTTCTTCTGAATGCAGGAAAAGCCTAGGAGCAAGTCAGATCGCCTTGTCATTGCCAAGTTTTATTTAAAACTTATTTTAATTGCTAAATTATTTGTATTTATAGGATTTTAAATTTTTAGCCGAGATGCACCGGGGGTTTTTAAATATTTTTTAATTGTTATATGGTTATTATTTATGTATTTGTTTCTGTTGTGAGCTGCCCCGAGGCTTCGTTGCGATGGGGGCGGCATAACATTGTTTTAAATAAATAAATAAATAAATAAATAAGATTCAGCTGAGAGAGAGGTACATTTTGTGGACATATATAGTAATCCTACAATTAAAAGTTCTCCTAAAAGTGTACCCTGCCGGTGTGATTTGGGTCAGGGAGTAAACTGAGGGTGCCCTGCCGCTTTGATTTCATTTATTTGGAGAGTCAGGGCAGAGTGCTGAACTGGGGACACCGGAGATCTGGCTTCAAGCCCCCCCTTGGCCATGAAGCTGCCTACCTCACGGGGTTGTTGGTGTGAGGATAAAACAGGTGGAATTGTTTTTTGGTATCTAGAAAAGCAAGTATGCCATTGGCTATGGTGGGTTCAGTAACAAAAGATGGAAGATCTTGGGAGTCCAACATGGGGGGGGGGGGCTGGCAAAACATTCCCAAGGTGCACTGTTCCCCAGTGAGTCTCCCAGAATGGGGAGGTGAGGGAGCGATTTTGCGCAGGCCTCGGCTCTGTTTAGGTGGCTTCCTGCCCCCCCCCCCAACTTCGTGGGGGAGGGCCACAGAGGTGCTTCCAGAATGGATCCGGGAACAGTTAAAACAGCTCCTCACACCACCGGAGCAGCAGCACCAGGTTCCTTCAGCTAGTAAATAAGTAGCTTTAGGGGCCTCTAATGGATTTAAGCAGGATCCATTAAATTTCCCAGCTTGCTCCTGTTCAGGGAACCATCTTGCCCGGAAGCCCTATTTTTCTTAGTTTTAAAGGTTAAGCTTCTGTACAGGTATAATTTTGCAAACATTAATAACTTCAAAACGTCCTCTTTGCCAACATCATGGAAATGTTCAGGCATGGCAGATTTGGCCCTAAATATTGTTTGATCTCTAAAGTGTGTGTGATGCTGCAACTCTTTCTTTTTCACCCATGAAGCAAGAAGTCATCAAGAAGCACGAGGAATACAGGGACCTGGTGGGGGACTTTCCGTCCTGCCAGCTGGAGATGGAGCTGTACGAGAAGAAGCTGCAGGCCCAGGAAGCCAATGTGCAGAAGCTGCTGGCGCTCTCTGCGGAGGTTTGTGTCGTGCAAAGACAGTGCAGGCTTCTCTGTGGAACTGCTGCTTCTCAAACGCTCTGAAGCAAAATCTCTCTTGGCGGAAGCATAGACAATCGCCATTTGGACCTTGGGCGGGAGGCTGAAGGCTGTGTCGGGAGATGGAGAACTGGATGGATGCCTGGCACCGCACGCTCCCCCGTGGCAGGCCCCGCCTGTGCTCAGAGGAAGGTGGGGTCCGGCCCTTCCCCCGGCAGGCGGGGCCACTGAATGTCCGGCCCGGTGCTGGGCTGGTGCTCTGTCACAGCACGGAACAATGCGTGACTCTGGGGCATTGGATGTTGTGATAGGTGCTCATTCCATGCCCGCTTCAGCAAGCCAAACAGGTTTAAGGAAATTGGAAACACACTTGCCAAAATGCAGTTGTGTCAATATAGAGATAGGAATTAAATGTGTGTCGTGAAATTAATTCATGATTGAGCAACACTCGTTTTAGCTAATACCTCTGCCGTGGAATAAGAGATATTAATGCAATGGAGAATTCAAATGTGTTTCAGGGCAGTCTACAAAATGGGGCTGAGTCAGTTGAGAAGAGGACGCTTGTAGGAGACTTAGAAAGCCCTGCCAGGCCTGCGTCCAAACCCACTGAAGGTCCTGGTGGGGTTTGCTGGGCTTATCCCTGAAGACGAACTTCGTGAGCTTAGCGATGGTTGCTGCAAAGGGAAGGCCAAGCTTGGGAAGTGCCTTCTTTGCGCCTCTTGGGAAGGGCTGTCTTCCCGCAGCGAGGGCCTTTGCGGCCCAAGGGGGGGGGGGGTCTTGCCTTTCTCCAGATCGCCTGGTCACAGCTGCTTCCGAGCAGGCCCCCCACAATAAAGGATGGCATCGGCGTCACCATGTCCAGGCCGGTCTGGTAAAAACATGGAGCAGTTCTCTCCACCCCCATCCCTCCCTAACAGTCCAGTAAAAGATCAGTCTTCAAAAGCTTGGTGTCTTTACTTGATTGAATGTACCAAATGCGTTTTTAATGTTTCAAGGTTATTATGGAAGTATTTGTGTACTGTGAGGTTTTTTTGCAGAGCACAAGTACTATGATTTCTTTGACTTTGTGCCATGTTTCAACAGTGCGATCTGGTAGAGAAGATGCTTTTTCATAACCGCTGCTTTCATTTCTTTCATTCACGTTCCAGATCCGAACCCTGGAGGACCAAATAGAGAATAGCAATAGCAGATTCAAGAATGCCATGACAGAGGAAATGTCCTTGAAAAGACTCGTTAAAGTTAAACAGGAAAAACTTGCTGCTACTGAACTCAAAATTAAAAAGATATGCGAGGACATGGAGCAGCGCAAGCGGGCAATAACCGAGTATGAATGACTGGCATTTATGTTTTCCTCCTACTGTTAAAATAGGCTGATGCAGCTTCCAACGTAGCATCCCAAAGAAAGCGTGCACAATTGTGTTGCCTCCCGGATAGTGGGCGTCCTTGCTTTCCTGTGTTTTCTTGTACTTGGGTGATTCGATGCATTAATATTGGTGGTGCAGCTTGAAAGCAGCATTCTAAACACTGCTCTAGTTTAACTTAATGCTCCTTCTTTCTTTCATCGTTCCCAGAAAAAGTCACACTGGGGTAGCTCTTTGGCAAAACCTTCAACAAACGTCTGTTTGCCTTTTGTGAATCTTTCATAATTTCCCCGCCACTTCTCATTTTCGAAGATTTCAAGGTCTGCAGGGAAACGGGAGCTTGTGTTCCGAAGGGACAAAGCACTTCTCCAGCCAAAGGGAAGATGGCAGTTGATCAAAGCTTCCTGGGCTGTCTTGTCTCCTCCTCCTCGCCGCTGCAATAAACCCGCATGGCAGCATTTACCGAATCACAGTTTTCATGGTAACAGATGGTAGTGCTGTATTTAGAGAGGGTGAGACCAAGAAGCCATCCTGCATTAGAGCTGAAAGGCAGCGACGAGGTGCAGGAGCCAGAACGGGTTAGCCGGAGGTTGCTTAGCCTCCGAGCAGCCCAGCCCTCTCGGTCTGCACATCGCAGTGGCCGTCTGCAGCCTCGCCAGCAAGCAGAGGTGCGAGTGCGGAGGGCCGTGACGAAATGTGCAGTAATGATTTGCTGCCATGCGGAAGCCACATCCTTAATTCCCAGAGTTCTCAGTCCTCCTGTCTCACGCAGGTAGCCAGGGCCGTCGTAGTGGCGTGATCCGAGTTCTCGTGCTCGGCGGGTCTCAGCCCTGCCGCCAGAGAGCTCAGGCTGTGCTTGAGTTTTGGCCCAGAGTTATTTCGGGTTGGGCTCCTAGTGAGCTCCTGGGTCTTTTCCTCTGACCGTTAATCGTGCTGAGTGAAGCACCGCACGCAAGGGGTGGGCAGCTTGTGGCTCTCCAGGTGTCTTGGCCTACAGCTCTCCAGTACAATTCACCACTGGGCGCGCTGGCTGGGGGCCGTGGGAGTTGTAGGCCGGCGGTTGCCCCCCACTGGCTGCGAGGGCTCCTCGAAAGAGCAATGGAGTTTTGACTGCCGTGAGGAAAGAAGCGAGCCTGGGCCTCAGCTGGCCAGAGGGGATGGGAGGAGTGAGGCCACCCTCTGTGTGAGTCGCCCACCATGACGCAGTGTGGCGGGTTTCTGCTCGCCTTTCCTCCACCAGCAAGACTTGCCCCCCCAGCCCTGCAAGTTTGCGCCGAGTCGTTCACGGTGCAAGCATGTCGTGAGCTAGAAGCGGGTCGCCCAGCTGCACCTGGAGGCGAAGTTCACGGGCGCCATGCCCACATGCTCAGCCTGGAGGGGCAGCGTAAGGGGAGCCCGTCTGGGAAACGGCGCACCCGGCCTCAGAGCAGTGGGTCTTGATGGACAGAGGGCTTCTGCATCACGAACCCTAGAGAACCGTGCAGGACTCCGATGAGCTGGAGGCTGTGCAATGCACACAGGAGAGGGAGAGGGCGGTTGGGCACTAGGTGGGAAGGAGGAGTATGGTGGGTGGGACGGTGGCTGGCTGCCTCCCTCCCTCCTTCCATCTCTCTCTGTCTATCCTTACACTGTGCCATTTCACAGAATTCAGGGTGGCTGGTTGAACTTAAAGGCAGCGCCTGAATGTGCCGGGGAAGCGGGCCAGTGAGGCGGGCCTCGCTGTGCCTTTCTCCCGGCCTGCCAGCTGAAGTGCCTCTCCTGTTGAGGAGCCAGTTGGCATGGGAAGGTGGAGGCAGCTGATGACTGTGCCATTAGATGCTGCATGATATAGAAAAGCCAGGAACTTACCGCCTGGATTTTGGAGAATGAGGCATGAAGATCCTTAAAACTGCTTTCTGTGAGTGGGAGAGAGAAAACACTTTAAAATTAGGAAATGCATTAAGTTCAAAAATACAGGAAGTTCCAATAAAATCTACTTTTAAAGCTGTTTTCAAACTGCAAAAACAAGTGGTGTTATTAATGGACTTGGATATTAGGATTTCTAGAACAATAGATAACGGTTGTGAGAAAAAATAATACAGGTGAAAAACGTGGAGAAGCTCAATTCTGCATATATGCTGTAGAAAATCACTGGTACAGGATCTGACATTGCTAGTGGCCTAACATGACCTTGGAGTAGCACTCTCAAACGGCTTGCTCCTTGTTTTCTAGGTACTGCAACACATTTCAGGAGAAAAGAGGTGTCGTCTGTGAGAAGCTGACAGAGACTCACACAGAAATCAGGCGGCTCAAAGACTGCATTCAGCAGCTCACAGACAGCATTGCAAAAGAGAAGTCGAAAGCTCAGGTGAGTGCGGGCAGAGATGCCGTGAGAACACCGTTCTCTGCAGCGGAGTTGCAGAGCAGCCGAAGCCGAGTGGGCCCTGGTGGGCGTCGCAGCTGTTTGGCTCAGCTCCTGCAGCAGCCACAGGCAGAAAATGGCGGTCCGTGTTGCATGGGCTCTTTCGTGGGCTTGCGCACAAACGCAGCCCCAACTCGTTTCTGTTCCCGCTGCAAGACGGGTGCAGTGAGAGGAGGAGGAGGAGGACATGTTAAGCCTTCTAAAGCCTCAGGACTGCTGTAAATTGTTGCCAGTACAGAAGTTAGCTAAACATTTTCTGGTGCGAACTGAATCATTTCCTGTGCAGGTAAACCTAATGTACAAGTGATTTTTTTTCTGGTTCAAGATATTCCAGAAAACCCACTTCACTGTGTATAAATATGCACACCATCTTATTCCTCACTTCCAATAGTTACATCTCTCTGCTTTCCTCCATTAAGGAGATCTACCTTAGCCTGCGGGGTGGCTTGGAGAAATACCACGGAAACCTGGCAAAGATAGTGGACAGCTGCACATCTGCAAGAGAAACCAAGACTGCCGAATTAACAAAGCTGTTTTGATAGTTCTGTCACCTTTGCTCGTGGAGCTTCTGTAACCCTCATCTTTGGGCTGCATTTCTACTGTGGGAAATACCTTAGAGCACCTTTCCTCTGGCTTTGGAAGAGGGGAAAACTGGTCCTGCTTAATACTGACTAGTTCTAGTATTACCAGTTGCTACATCCTGTTAGATGGAGAATATTGTTCATTCCATCTGCACTATATTGTCTTTGGTGGTTCACCTTTTCTCTGTGCTAACAAGTGTGCAGTTTCAGAGTCTGAAGACCCTGCCTGGAGAGTGGCAGGTTGTCTCCAGGTTCCCATGATGCTCACACTTTCTCAAGCCTGGCTGGGGCAGGCGAGCGGGGCCCTCAGGATGGGAGCCTGCAGGCCCCGGCACTTGCTCACTTCGGCCGGTGCACCTGAGCGTGGGCACAGCTGAGGGACCGGAATGTGTGTGCTGGCAGTGTTAGGGTCGAAGCCTCTCTGAAAATGGCTTTTGTATTCAATACAAGTATGTGTACAATAAAGATGCTTTATTAAAAACGTGTCTCTGTGCCCTGGGAGGGCCACCGGAGGCCACCCTCCTCCATCTCCACTAAGACGGCGCCAGGAGGGTGCGTGCAGCAACGCTTAGTGAGTCCGCAGCCTCGTCGGGGGCCAGCCAGTGCCCCTCCTCCAGGTGCTTCCCCTCCAGAGCAAGGGGCTGCATCTCTCGCTGCTGCCCGAGGAACCAGTGTGTGTGTGTGGGGGGGGTCTTGGCTCTCTTCTGGCGAGGAAGGGGCTGGGAGCCGCTGACTTCTCCATCGTGTGCATCTCTGGGAGCCACTCAGTAGCCCAGAGCTTGTCTGATCAGGGCGAGCCCTCCTTTCCCCATCTCCGCAGTGAGTGGCCCGCCCCGAGCGGAAGCTCAACGGGGGCGTCTTTTCCCCCAGAGGCCGCGTCCCCTCTCCTCCTGTGCCTCCCTCTGCAGCCCTCAGATCGTTGCCTCTTTAGCCAGCCTCCTGGGTCATTCCTGCCTCAGCTTTAACTTCCTCCACCCATTGTAACCCCGCACTAAGCTGCTGTGCTGCACAAACCTGCGTGCACACTCCCCCCCCCCCCCGCTTTGCAAGCGGCAACAGCGGCATTTCTGTCCAGTGGCTGGACTGATGGTGGGCCTGGTGTATTCCTTGCCGCTGTCATATTTGGAGCCTCGAAGAGCAAGGGCATCTGCAGCTCCTTACACATTTATAGGCCCCTTTATATGCTAAAACCCGCCGAAGCAACTTAAGAGCTAAAAACATTAAGGCTAAATGTTCTAAAAGTCTACTTTGGAAAAAATGTGTCAATTTCAAATTAACAAGTCATTAATCCTGTTAATCTTCACAGTACAGTGTTGTTAACTTATCTGAATGCCAAGTATAGAATAGGCAATGTTTTAAGAAGTCAACAAAATATACCCAACTAATCCCATATTGAGCAGTCTTACTTAGGCTGCATAATTTTTCAGTTTGGTCATTGTTGCAGAATCCCACATTTTAACCATCTGTTCTACGTTTGAAACTTTAGTTCCTAATGTTTGGTGTAAACTCATCTGGTGGCTGGTGCTGTGTTTTTTTTCTGATTGAATTATTTGTGTAAATTAAAAGAAAAATAGGGTGGATTGAGATTATAACTGGGTTTATAATTTCTGTCTTTTTCCATTATCCAGACCCCACATGTGATAAGTATCTTCAGATACTTCCAGTGACACAAATTTTATTTCTTACTAATGCTGCTTATTGCTTTGGACTATAGTCAGTGATTATGGTTATTTATAATTACAAAAATTGTAATAATGCTGATAATTACTGCTATGGCCCTGCAAGGCCGAGGGACCGCTTGGTTTTTCAGGTTCTGGGTCAGCTGAGATGGTTTCAGATGGGAGCCAAGAGTGGAAAAACCTGTCTGGGCACTGCTTGGGAATTGGCTTTGTAATACTTTGATGATCAAGTCTTTATTAGGAAGACAAAGAATATTGAAATACTTCAGCTGCTTGGGAAGAAGAGGCGGAATACAAGGAAATCTTTTCACAGGAGCAGATTTTTTTTTATGGGAATAGCTTGTTTCTGTCTTCAGTATTTCAGTCCTTTGGGGGTTTGCATTCCTCTTGAAACCATTTCCCTCAGGACTTTTAGCCCTGTGGTTTTACCCAACATCTTCCTGAACTTTTAAAAACAGCCTTTCCTAAAGTTCAGGGTTTGTGCCCAACCAAGTGCAGCTACCGCAGCCCTTCTCTGTCACAGGTTTCACAACGCCATGGTCACGTTGCCCATGCTTTCTGACCAGGAGTGCGGGGGAAGAAAATGGGAAGAATATACAGAAGCGACAGATGACAAATTCCTTTGAAGAGGAAACCTATGAGGAATAACCTGCAATATTAGGAAGTGAACTGAAAGCTGCTTTGAAACTATTTGGAAGGAATAAAGTAGCTGGCATGGATAGGAGACAATAGAAACATTCCAGGCTGTGGGCCAAATCCTAAGAGGACTGCCAGCAAATGCGGGGAACAGAACAATGGTCCACAGACTGAAAACATTCAATATTTATATTCCAACCCCCAAGAAAGATGCAAAAGAGGGCAGCAGGCAGAGGACCATCTCCAATTTCCCACCCGTGTGAAGCGAGAATATTGCCCTGTGTGGCGTGAGAAATGCCTGACGTTCCAGCTGGGTTCCAGAAGGGAAGAGGCACTGGTGACCATGTCACAGATGGAAGCTGCGTACTGGGGCAAGGCACAAGTTCCCAGAGCAGCTGACTCTCCGCAGCGCTTGGAGGGCTCTGCTGCAGAGGGAGCGCTGCACACGCCGTGCCTGCTAACACAGTCGGTGCCGAGCCTACGGAGCTGCCGCTTGGCCTGGCCCCCGAGTCCAGGCAGGCGAGGGTCCATGCCACCCGGCAGCAACAAAGCCCACTCTGCACTTACTGTTTCCAGGTCTTTTTAAGGTCTGTGTTTCTTATCCTAAACATCTTAGCACAAATACTCGGGGCGAGTGGTTCTAATGCCAGTGCAGGAGCTGTTGATGCTGAGCTAACCTGCCCTGTGCCTCGTACTTCAAGGAGTTTAAAATTACTTAATAATTAGCTGAGTGTGAGGTATGCAGCTGAATGCCAAGCGCCAAACCACCTTCAAGCGCCGCAAGAACTTCAAAGCAGAGACGCTGCTTTATGCTGCTAGACCTCCTCTGAGTCTAAACTGGTTGGACACTGTGGGGGCAGAACGCAGGTCCAGCCTGGCTCTTAAACTCCTACGTTTATTTTCTCGTCTGTATGCCCTACAAATTGTGTGCAGCGTTTTCCTGATAATTTCCCCCTTTTGCTGTTCCATATAAATCTGGACCTGGGAGAACATGCTTATGAAGGGCACTGATCCCATCAGCACTTCTGCCTGCAGCGGTGCAGCGGTGGTGTGAGCCTGCAGAACGGCGTTAAAGATGCACACTCACGTCATGTGCGGATACGTGCCGTGCTGCTTTCCTTCCACGGCCGGTACTCCTTTGGGGGCAATTCTTTCTTACTTGAGCTCAAGATTTAGCCATTATCTTCGCATCAGTTTATTTATTTATTTACTTATTTAAAACATTTCTATGCCGCCCCATTCACCGAAGCCTCGGGGCGGCTCAACATAAATTAAAATATAATACATTCAAAATATAAAACAAATTAACAATATAAAATAAGTCGCCCTGGCCAGTTTAAAGGCTATTTATCTGGCGTTTTATTTCTCTCTCTCTCTGTATGCTGTAACTAGACGGTGGTCCTATGGCCCCCTAGGCGTGATTTGGGGGCAGCCATGGGAGAACTCAGGTTCTCAGGTCAGAGCTGAAAATCCACACAGCGATTCCCTACCAGCAGCCCCCAGTGGCACCCGGTGCCCTGCTGAGGTTCAACAGTCCCCTAGAGAGGGTGTAGACCTCCCTCCCCCCCTCCCCCTCCAGTGCAGGAATGGAAATGCTTGGCCTCTGTTGCTTCGCTGTTCTGCACTGGCTGTTCATAAGCCTCCGCGTTTATTCTCATCCAATTTACATATGTTTGGAATGTTAACAGAAGATAGATTAATCATTAATTGTCACATCGTTTCGGGTTATGCAGAGTTTTAAAATTTCAAACGTTGATATTTCGGGTGCTTTTGTTGTAGGAGCCGTATCAGATGAATTTGCCTTTTTTAGTATAATACTCAATCTGGCTTGTTTTGCTTGCTTGAAAAGAAGGGTTTTGGTATCTAATATCTGAAGCAGCCATCTGCCTTTCCCCCTTTTTTGGCAATTCTCTACTTTTTAAAATTGATGCAGTTCTCCCACATTCCCTTTCTTGCACTCCCTTTCCCATTTTTGCTTCAATTTTTTGGTAACATGCAGCTGATGCCATAAACGTCTTACAAAAACATGCGTAGCACCTCGCACGGCACGTCTGGTGTAGCATTTTGAGAACGATCTTCCGTGCTTGTTAACATTTGCTTACTGCTTCAGGTCATAACAACAGATCTTTCAGCCGGCATTTTTCTTCCGATCCTTTTCCGTCTCCAGACTGAGAGCCACTGGACTGTGGTCGTATCTGTTTGCGTGGTCCTCCCAGCTGTGCCAGGGGCCACGCCAAGCCCAATCCGCTCCCGCATCATCCTGTTCTGGAAAGAGTTGCCTGTGGCCGAGGGACCACAATACCTATCAGTGCAGGACCAGCTTCCATATTTCTCTAGATGTTTTGAAGTACATGTGCAGTGCGTCTCTGCTACATGCATTAGAAGATTCATAGTAGTCTCTGGGCAACAGGGATTTATTCTTGCAACAGCTCCGACGGTGCATTCTGCTTCCGCACATTATTCTTGAAGGAAAGTTTCTGAGAAGGCTTTTAAAAGTCTTGCTTGATACTCATCAGGTACGTTTAGTGTAGATTTTTGACAGTATTCCTTATATATGACTTGGACCAGTATTTTCATTAAGTGGCACAGGGCGCAAACTCATCCAAGCATTATCCAAGCAAATTTAAACGAATCTGGGATTGTACTGGCAAATGTGAGCATTTGAAAATGGGGCAGGGAGGAACGGGCTCCCTTTCGCAGCCCTTTTTCCCCTTGTGAGAACACAGAAGCCCCTTTTTCTCAGTCCAGGCCGAGGCCACCACTGCCTTCAGCTGGTCATGTGTTTTAGCCCTTGTCCCGTACGAGAACTGCGGGGGGCCGTATCCTTAGACCGGGGGTGGGCAATTAATTTCCCTATGGGGCCACATGAGAAACTTCGACAGTTGGTAAATGCCGGACCAATACACTGACAGCTCTGCTCAATATATGTCTCTATAAAAACAGTAAATGAAACATTGCAATGATACAGTGAAAATGTGGAGCACAGAACAACACTATTAATTTAGCAGATCCTTCAAAATAAAAGCAGTGCAGTTGTACGGCTTGCATCTGTATTACGATGATACATATTTGCATTGACTTCATTTGCCAGTGACCTCATGCGGGCCAGTCGGGGTCAGCCATCGGGACGGATGTGGCCCACGGGCCGTGCGCTGCCCAGGTCTGCACTAGACCCTAAGAGCACTGGGGCCTTCAACGTTTCTTCCTGTGAACTTCCCAAATATTCAGAAGGCTCTCGTGCATATGACAGATGCTCATTTCACCAAACTTTTGAAACTCTAAAGCTTTTTGTACGTATGTGTTTTGTATGTATTTGCAGAGTTGTGCTTTTAGCTGGCTCGGACATCGTAGTTCGTTATATTGTGTCCATCGGTCTTTGGGGAGAATGCACGATTTCATCAATGAGTGTGCGTGACTGGCCTGATGAGCACCAGCCCCAGGATTT